GCAGCCCCCGCCAGGCACGGGGGCTTCGCCCTCCCGCAGCCCCGGGGACCCGCCGCCCGCCTGGCCAGCCCGAGCCCCCCACCCCGCACGCAGCCGGTGGCGGGAGGAACGGCCCGGGGTGGGCGCAGGGATGGAGACCCGGGACTGACGCCCCGGGGCAGGGCAGCTCCTGCGTGGCTCAGAAATAACTCGGGCCGGCAACCGCAGCCGGCCACCGCCGAGGCCGACACCTGCACCTACGCTAGACGCAGCCGGGCGCGATGCTCTGGGTGCCGGGAACAGGCCAGCGGGACCAGCACCTCCTGCCCTCCGCCCCAGGAATATGCTCTTCCCACCGCGCCTTCCCCAGGCACGCCGGAGCGGGGAGGCCGGGTGAGCCCCGAGCACCCTCAAACAGCCGGACACAGGACCAGAGCCGCCCCGGCCGTGGGGGGCATGGCTCTCACAGCCCTGGCTCTGCCAGCCCAGGGCAGGGCAAGACCCATCCCGGGTCACGGTGCCGCACGGGTGACGAGGCCACGGCGGGTGGCACCATCTGCTGCCCACGGGGCAGAAACACAGCCGGACAGTGCACGCGTCCAGCTCCCGTGCCGCCCACGACCACGGCCAGAGCCAGCCCTGCTCCATGCCCCGGGTGGAGAGCGGGCAGCCGCAGCCCATCCGCTGAGCCCCTCGGGAGAGGATGCCCCAAAAGCCACACTCCAGGCCACAGCAGGCTCGCTCTGCAACAAATCACCCCCTTGACTTCGCGTTGCTACCTGCAGGCAACAGCCTGTTTCTCCAAACCACCTCCCAGCACAGTGCCGTCCCCCCGCCCGCTGGCCCCAAGCCCACGGAGGAGCCCCTGACGAGCCAACACTGCGGCTTAACCTGAGCAGGAGGCTGGAGATGCCGGAGTGAGCAAGCGAGGGACAGAGCTGGGCACCATGGCACAGGTCCGTCCACGCCGTCCCTGTGTGGAGCTTGACACAGCAGCGCCTCGACCAGCGTGGTGAGGCTCTGCCTCGGCTCGCTGTGGCAGCTGCCACAGGCAAGCGGGCCCGGCAGAGAGCAGCACGATGCCGCTCCATCCCCTCCCCAGCTCCCTGGGCTGTTTTTTCCCCCTCTGTGCCTGCCCTGCCAAACAAAAGGCACAAGCAGCGCTTTGTGCTGCGGCCGAGAGCTGGGTCAGGCAGGACCCATAATCCTCATCAAGGAAATTAAGCCATGCATTGATTTTTCACCAGGACGGCACCCACAAGCACGAGGCCGGCTGTGAAAGGCTTGCATAACCCACTTACGTGCTGCAGAGCCACACTGCCCAGTCAGCCTCAGGGCCGGCCCAGCTGATGACACACCAAGGCAGCAGAAATGCTATCAGGAGGGACCCAGCCACCACAGCTCTGGGCTGCTGGCACCACTGCCAGACCTGTCCGCCACCACAGCGCAGCCAGCAGCTCTCTGGGCACAGCCCTGAAGTCAGAGCCACGCTCCCCAATTATCCCTTCCCAGGCAGGCAGAAGTGTTTGGCTACAGGGCAAGGCCACAAGGCCACAGCTGTTACTCACCAGGATCAGGGCAGGCAGGGCTTGGGCAGGCAGAGGCACCTCTGGAGCTGGGAGCACATGGGGGTTCCACTCCAACCCATGGCTGCTGCTGCCTCGCCCCAGGGGCAGGAAGGCTGGCAGCAGGACCCCCACCACATCATCCGTCCTCTCCACAGGGCACCACACTGCACACAAAGGCAGCAAAGGCCTCACACCTTTGCTCTCCCCCATGGGAAAGAGCAGGGAAAAAGAAAAAGTAACTGCTTAGAGAAGCAGGAGACATGCCAACAGCACGTCCTGCAAGGGCTCCTGTAGGTTGGGGCTGATTCTTGACCTCACAGCCAGCCACAAGATACTGAGGAACTGTGCAGCAGAGCAAGGTGACGCCTGTCCCCAGACAAAGAAGTGTGCCGCAGCAACCAGGGCTTCTCCGAGCCCCACAGAGCAGGGAGCACCACTCATCTCCCCTCACAAAGGCTTCAACACCTCTCAAGCTGCAAATACTTGGTGATTAAAGCACAGTCAGAGCTGGCACTGAACTGTGAGACACAGCATTGTGTCCTACAGCCCGAGGAGCCAGAAATGAGTCAGCAGGTGTTCTGGTTTTAGCTGGGATAGAGTTAATTTTCTTTCTAGTAGCTGGTATAGTGTTATGTTTTGGATTTAGTATGAGAATAATGTTGGTAACACACTGATGTTTTCAGCTGTTGCCAAAGACTGTTTATACGAACTCACTTCTCATGCCCAGCCAGCAAGAAGGCTGGAAGGGCACAAGAAGTTGGGAGGGGACACAGCCAGGGCAGCTAATATTCCATACCATCATGCCTACTATATAAACCTGGGGGAGCTGGCCTTGCAAGGGGGCAGCAGATCACCGCTCAGAAACTAACTGGGCATCAGTCAGTGAGTAGTGAGCAATTGCATTGTGCATTACTTGTTTTGTATATTCCAATTCTTTTATTATTGTAATTTTATTATCATTATTATTTTCTTCCTTTCTGTCCTACTAAACTCCTCAACTTACAAGTTCTTATCTCAACCCATGAGTTTTACTCCCCCCTCCCCGATTCTCTCCCCCATCCCACTGGGTAGAGGGGAAGTGAGTGAGCAGCTGTGTGGTGCTTAGTTGCTGGCTAGGGTTAAACCACAACAGCAAGGTCGGGCAACCCAGGGGCCAGTCAGTAGGGAAGAGAACAGAGTCCAACCAAAGATGGGAAAAAAAAGAGAGGAATCATCTTTATTTGTGAAGTGTGTTAACAGATGGAACAGTTCAATGCTACCCAGCAATAAAAAGTATTAGGCTCCACTGAGCACTTGTCTGCTCTCAGGCTCCTATGTCACACAAACATCACGATGGCTCAAGCATAAGAACACATGCTGTTAAATCGCCCCCCCCCCCCCAGCACCACAGCCCCTGTTCACTCTGCCCCTATCCTCCACTGTAGCAACTTGAGAACAGATACTAATAACCCATGAAATAAGTTAACAGCAATCACATTTATCCAGTGTCCAGCTCCAACACTGCCTCCTGGTTGCCTGTTCAAGAGTAACCAAGAACAGCTCTGGAAGAGCTGACTGGGAATCGCCTGACACAGTATGTCACTTGCATGCGGGTCTGGGTGATGCAGCACACGCTGAGGAACAAGCCCTTCACTCACTCCTCCCCAGGAGCTGCACCAGCAGATGTGTCTCATAGCCCTGCCCAAGTGGCTTACAGGACACATACTGCTTCCACACTAGGGAAAGGTGCAGCCTTGCTCCAGGTGATGCACTGGGAAATACACAGAACTACCTTCTTAAACCCTTTGGTCAGATTGGGTCATCTCCAGATGGTCACCAAAGCAGTTTCTCCCCAACCCACACAAACAGGGCAGGACAACAGACCTGCTGGGAACACAGGCCATGCCAGCCACGTCCAGTGGAGCAGCACACAAGGAACTGCACATTTCACTGCATGTTCAGGTCTGTCATCCACAGCTCTGTGAGTGGTCTCAAACACTGAGGTGGGACAAGGAGGGCATTTCAGAATGGCCCTACCCAACACACCCTGTTCTTCCCAGAGTTAAGAAAAAAGTTGTACTCCCACCCACCCACTCTGTATCAACATAAAGAAACCTAGGACACAGACAGCCAGTGACCTAGACTACCAGAAATAAGGGATTTACATTTACAGGTAGAAAAACCCTCCCACAACTCTTTTTAAAAAAAAAAAGTATATTTTAGATTCTACAACTTAAGTTTCTTTAGAAAGTGAAGTAACTGAATCGCAAGAACACACTAGAATATTTCATGGTGCTATTTTACCAAAAAATTAGAAGAAAACAAAATTGTCCAGACAAGTTCTTCATCTACACGTCACCTGGCATGAGAGAAAGAAAAGCCAGTTAGATAACCCAGTTGTACCAGTAAGGCTGCACTGTGCTAGAGGGGGTTGATGGAGCAGTACAGGACAAAGGCTGCCCTTCAGTAAAGCTGTGGGCTAGGACTCATCTCCTGCTCAAGTCCAGGGCAGGAATTATCAGGCAGTCCTGACTTTCCCATGCTTTAGAGCCCCACAGTAGGGTCCAACACTTTCTTCTCCCTCTCCCTTTGTCTGTCTGGGCAGGAGCCAGACACACTGCTGTCCCCACACAGTTCCAGCAGCTTTGGCAGGTTCCTACCAGGCTACTAGTGGCCTGTACTTGAGCTTCACAGTAACATGTGTTCCATCCCCACCTCCCCAGACCCTGCAGTATGATGTTGGGCCACAAGAGCCTCTGCCTGCATGGATGCTTCTGCTTCTTCCAGAGAAGCTTTGCAGATGCAGATACTGCAGCCAGGCAAGACCTCTGAGCAGCTGATAGAGAGCTCCAGCTAGAGACAGGCGCCTCGGGCCACTGTAGGAGCCCTTCACTGTGAGGAGGTGAAGAGCCTGGCACAGCAGCTACTCTCAGCCGCAACTCTGCCATCAGGAATGGCACTCACCTGGCCTCCACTCTTAGTTAGCATTTCTCTGGCGGACATTCTTGTCCTTGTGGTTTGTGGCATTGCTCTTCCTGGAAAGAAAAAAGGGGCAGTGAGGAAAGAAAAAGCACAAAGCCCCACCCTACCCACTAATGTTAATTCAGGTCCAAACAGATGGTCAAGATAAGGCAAGATGAGATCAATTACCAGAAGAGTGTCAGTGTGAGACACTGGTGTCATCCCCAGTTATATGTGGTTTATACACAGGCCACATTAAATGAACCATGGTGAGAAAGTCCCCTACTCGGCAAGGTAGTGTGTTGTTGCCACACAAGCTAACTTTTATATTCAGAGCAGGTTCCGTGAATGGATGTGGTCTGCCAGTACAGGTCTGGCTAAATAGGAAAAGGTACTTACAGTGGTGCAGAACCTCCATCATCATCTTCACATTCAGGACAGCATGGAAAGAAAGAACAAACAGTGTCAGGGAAGAACATGTAAGAAGTCATCTCTGCCACC